GGGTTGGTTGTTTGTTTGTGAGCGTGTCTGCCCACTGGATTGTAGACCTGTATGACTAGATCTACATTTCTGCTGTTCAAAGAGGAATTCACCTCGTCAAAAAGTTTTTCACTATGCTCTTAAGGGTTCCATCACCGTTCTTGTCAGATGATGCTCAGAAGAATAAAATGTCACAAATGCCACACCATTTACAGAATATCATATTTTAAAATGCATGTTATAATAGTACTTCTGTTAATAGGAGATAGTGCCGAAAATAGTTAAATAAGCGAGTACGGAAATGCCTCTCTTCTCCCTGTGATTTATCGAAGAATCCAAGTGTTCCCCCATCAAAATGATGTATACTGTGTCTATTTATACTTCTAACTTCAGTGACAATCAAAGGTACTCACATAGCATTTCAACATCTAGGGTGAACAGGAAAGGAAACTAATAATGTTTCTTGTTATTGTACTTCAGCTGTCGGCTTTGTCATGATTTTTTAAGCCTATTTTTGAGCAGGGATATAATGTGTCACGACACAGTGGAATCAGGCGCTGGTCAGTACATGTATTTGGGCATGGGAAGTTATTGCTATCGTATTAAAGCTTGTTCATTTGCCATGCTTTCAATGAAAGAATTACCCACTTATCTTGAATACAAGTCAATTTATTTGTTATTAAAGGAGGTGGGGGTCTCCTGGTTTCAGAGGTACATTTAGCAAGAAAATGACTGCCAAAGTTTACTTAGCTTGAGACAGAGAGTCCTTGGAAAACGACAACTTACATTTTCTTTTTTAGCCTTTAGTCAACGCCTTTAAGTAAAATCCACACAAAAATGAGTTCTCAAATTGATATAAAGGAGTTGGCCAACTCCCCCACACCCCCACCCCCACAGAGTTTCGATAAAAATGGTCAAATCCTGTGAAAAAATGCCAGTTTCTTCGATTCCATTTTTTTTAACGAGCGCCTGATTTCACCTCAATGCCTCATATCTGCATTTTATATAGTTTCCGGTATTATAATTACATGTATTTCAAAGGCACTGTGTATGATTCCATTGTTAGGTTTATGCCAGAGAGGCGTCGCCACAGACACCCAGCTGCGTGGATGCCATTTGGTGGAGGACCTCGCTCCTGTGCTGGGCTCAGGTTTGCTCTCTTACAGCTCAAGATGGTCGTGGCCAAGGTTCTCAGAGATTTTGAGTTCGATCCTCCCAACAAGCAGATCGGGGTTGCTCTAACGTTGAAGCAGGTAGTTGAATTGTGTGGCTAGATTGTAGCTTTTTGGGATGATTAGAGGAAAATGGTTCTTTTATCCGTTGGCATTGGTTTTGCCTTGTATTTTGTTTTTGTTGGGTTTTTTGTTTGTTTGTTTGTTTGTTTGTTTGTTTGTTTTCAGGTAGGTTTTTTTGCCCCTACCGACACAATTTAGACCTGTCAAGACTAACGCGGATGAAGATGAAAACGACGTCCCAGAAGAAAAGACCGAGATACTCGAAAAATACTTCCTACACGGGAGTTGAACTCAGGTCTTCTGCATCCGACAGCAAAGTGTCTCGCTGCTACACCATAGACGCCGGTCTTGTAGTGTTTGTTTGGTTTGTTGGGTTTTTTGTTGTTGTTGGTTTGTTTGTTTGTATCATTTAAGGTTGTTGTTTTTACATGTATCATGTGGAGGAGGGGGGGGGGTCTCAATTTTCGAGAAACACACACTTGTATCTTTAGCAACAAATCGCTTTACATTGTTGTCCTACTTCAGAAGACAACCTGCTTTTTTCTTTCTCTAAGGAGTTATGGCTTTTTTTCATAGCTTTAGCCACCCCCCCCCCCACCTCCTCCCCCCCCCCCACCCACACAAACAAACAAAGAAACAAAGGCATTTACTTTAGAGTTATAAAATAACCTATTCAAAGTATTCAATTAAAAGCTTTTATTTTTCTAATTTTCGTTTGTTTACTTTTGCCATTCAGGGTGCGACTATTTTGCCTGAAAATGGAGTTCTCTTGTCCGCGAGAAGGCGTGACTCGGCAATGTCTGACGCGGGCGTGAGGCGAGGTTCTATGCTCAGTGGCCTGGAACTGATCGACTGGATGAACAAGAGAAGAGAATCTGTCAAAGAGGAGGAACAGGGCGAAGCAGACGATGTCGATTCTGATTTGGAGCACTGGACAAAGGGAGGAAGAGCTCAAAGGCGAAAGTCCTCTTTGAGTTCTGTGTCCGAGGTCTTGGGTCAAACGACAGGACTCGAGCAGAGCAAGAGATATTCAATGTCCAGGCGGGGTTCTGCCTTGAACTCTGAGGAGGATGAGATGGATACAAGTAATCTGAGGAGAAGTTCACTTAGTTTGTGCATGAGTTTGCTTCAGGCAGACTCTCTCAGCAAGGCCGCCAACATTCTTAGACGTGTGTCAGTCAGTGGTGACGTCACTCCACCTATTGAGGAGGACTGCACAGAAACTGACGTCATTGTCAACAACATGTCAGGCAAAGCGTCAGACAGTAACCGCAAGTACATGAAACAGACCACCTTTAATTCAAGTTTGCCAAGTTGCCCTGTGCCGGTGAACGAAGACGAGTGGGAGGACAAATCCTGCTATATGCCGGAGGAAATTCTTGGCTCTCACCCCGGCCTCAAGTCTTCACTTTGTCGGAGGCGAGGATCAGCTCTGCCACAACTTGAGTCCATGAGGGAGGCCAGCGACATTGATGAATTCTTCCATCGTTACAGCGAAAGTCTTATCACAGAGATGACAAACCTGGACGATGATCAAATGCTGTCCTTTAAAAAGGGCGGGAAAAGGCACGCTCGTCTGTACCAGAGACGAGGATCTGGGTAGGCTAGAGAAGTGGTTCACAGCTTGTGACCCAAGTCGATACTTTTGGTAGTCCACAGAAGGTTCTCTTTATCTGAATGCTATCCAAAATTGGTAGACAACTTCTGAATAATGTAGTTTGAAAGAAGAAGCCAAACTAAAATATTATGTTATTTTACTTGTACATTTTTTAAAAATCTTAAGAAAGAATGTTCTTGTCATGTTCCATAGTTTCAGCAAGCTCCACGCTATTAGTTTGAAACTTCTGTTTCAAACGAAGTTGGATTTATATGTTATTGTGGCCCTGTAAATTTTATGATGAAACATCAATTACAAAACAGGAGATGTCAAACAATACATTCTGATTTGTAGAAAAACAGGCGTATAACAACGAAATGATCTGCTCCGACTACTTACTAAAATGATGACAAACAATGCCAAATTTGGCTGACAAAGAAATATATCCTATGAAAAGTTACACACGTTTTGCACCTTTTGGAGCACACTTATAAAAGCGAGGGAAAACGTACTAGATTTCTATAAACATTCTCATTAACTCAGAGTCTGATTCAGAAGTGTGAACGCTCTTTTTTTTACTAAAAAAAAGGAGTATGAGGTAAAGGTCATGATGGAAGTAAAGACAACAAACACGTTTGTCTGTTCAGCATGACATGTTTTAAGGATAGAGATTTGTTTTACACACACACACACACACACACACACACACACACACACACACACACACACACACACACACACACACACACACACACATACACACACGCACACACTTAATTAAAGTCACTGTCAATTGTCTCTCGGTTTTGTTCGTCGTAAAGATTTCAGCAAGATTCCTGAAACCTATGCTATTTATCTTGTGACCAATGCAACTCGCAGAATTTTCATTGACGTATTTGAAAACAAATATTTATTTGTCTGCAGTTTTTTCACGGTTATCTCTATTTCTTAGGCACATTATGAAGTGAACAACATCAAAAGGTTTTTGTTTATTTTTTAAGAAATCTTTGGTATTTAGATCCAGTTAGTAGGGCCTTTAAATTATGTCAGCGAAAAATGGTACATTTAGTTTATTCCTCCCTCAATTTCCCCCCCCTCCCCCTCCTTTTTGCTTAGACATTTTGCGTTAATTTATTTTGATAACCTGCCAACTTTTTCTGTAATTAGTTTCAATTACATGTATTTCTTTTGTTAGTTTTTAGAGAAAGAATGTTCATATATATTCAAACTGGTTGAAAAACTGTCTATCAGGAAGTGTTAACAAAATGCTGACGTTTAATTGAGGTTTCGGTCCCTGAAGTGGACCAGTAAAGATTATTTTTCCTAGTTGTTCATTTCTACGTTTACTAAGGACATGTTTATGTTTTCTAAATAAACAGAAATAATATACGGTCTGTGCTTGCTTTCCACCCCTACCCTAAAAATCTGCAATAAAGTCAATTAACACTTTCTTAGGAGAATTGCTTCGGTTGTCATTTCAGCTTCTACAAGTTTGATAAAATGTTTAATGATTTGGGATTGAAGTGGTCACGCAACAAAGCATGAGTTATCAAATACACAATTCTGGACAAGATTCACCCCTCCCCCTCCTTCCCCAATCCGTTTCCCCTTTTTGCGGTATGACCTGCCATTTTCAAAGTAAGGCATTTAAAAATTTGCTGCAGTCGGGTTTCTCTCTTCCCAACCATCACACTCTACGCAAGCCGTGTGTGTTTACAAGAGTCAGATAAGGGGTACGCCAAGTAACTCCAGCCGCACACAATACTCAAGACCGCTGTACAGGCGGCCATACTTCTTGTCCGCAAGAAGTCACAACATGTTAACAACATGTATTGAATTTAGGTTATTTGAATTTGCCTCCTTGACTCTCCTCCAACTTGGCCTTATTCTATCAAAAAAGGACATAAACTGTTGTTTTGTTTGTTTGTTTGTTTGTTTGGGGGGGGGAGGGGTTGTTTATTTTTAGTTGCCGTTAGTTGTTTTGTTTTTTGTTGGTTTTATTAAGAGTTTTACGGCACATGCAACACAATCAGGTCACATAAAGTGCCTTCGATAAGAGCTGTTACCGGATAGTAACATACACATAGTATGAAGAGAGATAATATATAGAAAATAGATGTTTGATAGGAAAGAAAGAAAGAACAACATCATAGCTTCCGTCAACCACCCACAAAGGACATTACATCAAAAGTCCAGTCTCTTATACAACGGTAGCGTCTTCAAAATAACTAAATAATTATAACCCATACCACACCAACAGTGATGTACTGTTGTTGTTTTTTTCATGTGAATTATTTCACCGTACATAGGTTTTTTGTTTTTTTGTAATTTTGTAATTTTTAAATAATAGTGGAGGGTTTTACGGCGCTCGCAACTGCATAAGGTCATATGAGCGCCAAGGGGTGGGTGTCAACAGAGAAGTCTTTACAGACTTACTCTGCTCACCTCTCTAGCTTCAACAGCACAAGGTCTGCTTCGACTATCAAGGCACCACAGAAATAGCAGGTCACAAGAGTGTGACAAACATACAAAAGAAGTAGAGGAAAATGACAATAGTAAGGATTAAGAAAGAGAAAGCTGTAGTTCCCTGTTACACATCAGGCACAGTTATGAGCGTGACATGAATCAGACCCTAGGCGATCATAAATCAAGACTGTTGGTCAATCTTAATTAATTAATTAATTAGTCACCACCTCTGTTCCTCAACACACACAATGATGTAGAAAATATTCACATAATCCAGATGACTTGAAAAGCAAACTGCATTAGGCAGAAATAATCCAGTGTCAAAGCATGAGAAAACAACAAATCAAACTGACCGCCGCACCCTGCGTAGGCTTATCACTACTAATGATCTACAAGGTTGTGGGCTTACTACACGGGTGTGTCAGCCCACAAGGAATCTAGGTCAGTAGCGCGCAGGTGGCCTGATTATATGACCGTCTAGATCAGACCATTTACAATTCTACTGTGCTTGAACGAGAAATGTCCCCCACTTTGGGAATGGCCCAAACACACCTTAGTCAGTGGCACTGCCCCGGGGGGATTACATAGGTTTATTTTAATAACAGGTGTACGTTTCTTGCAGGTCACATACATGTATCAGTAAGTGTCGATGACTGGAGGTGTTACTAGGGAGTAACATACAAAGAAAAGGAGGAGTGATAATGACGATAAACGTTTGATAGGTAAGGAGGTAAGGATCAAACCACACCAGAGCACCCGCCAACTATCCACATACAAAAGTTTAGCCAGACCCAGGGAAACAATATCCAAAGTCACGTTAGAAGTTTTACAATGTGATATCACTGGTGCGTCGCTCACGCAGATTCAAATTCAGTTTTGTCATACCCTCGCCTCATTATCACTATCCGAGAGCTTTTTTTTTGATTGCATAAAGACAAGCACATCTACCAAATACATGCAACAGTTAAACAGAGAATTGACCAAGCAAGCAAGATAGACTGACAGAACAGGGGGAAAAGTGTGGGGAGGGGGGTGAGAGAACTCACTGGTGGCGCTCTCCAACAACCCGTTACCACAAAGCGCCAGTGCTATGAGAATTCTTACTTTACTTGGTTGGAGAATAGGCATCATTTCAAGCGGCAGACACAATGCCATAGCTGCTCCTCCCTCCTCCCTAGGATCCATGAAAGGGTCTGCCTGCTGATCGTGCAAGTTCACAGCTGGTTGGATATTCTTCTGGCTTTTCCACGCAGGTTGCTGTCTCTCGCCGACCCTCTAGAAACACCAGCTTCCCTTAGTCTATCTATTGTGTGTGAAGTGGTACCTTCATCCTCTCAATATGAGAATTCTACACCCCTGGAAACACAATATAGAATGTTTTGGTGCGAGAGCCACCAACTGTATTCATTGATTGCAAATGTTTTCCCTCCGCATCGACAAAATTTAGGTCGGTTACTGGGAGGAATGCTTCGATTCTGTCTCGTTTTAGTAAGTGTTTTACGGCACTTGCAACACAATAAGGTCATATAAGTGCCGAAGATTAGAGGTGTTACAAGTGAGTAACAAACACAAAAAAGGAGGGAAGATAAAGACGATAGATGTTTTATAGAAAAGAAGAAGAAAACCACACCAGAGCACCCGCCAACCACAAACCCGATTCTGTCTGAAAGGTCAACCTCTGTGGGCTGATCAAGAGGGAGATACTTTTTAAAAAATTTAGTAAGAGTTTTACGGCACTTGCAACACAATTATAAGCTCATATAAGTGCCGACGAATAGATGTGTCTTACAAGAGAGTAACAAACACAAAAGAGAAGGAGGGGAGATAAAGACAATAGATGTTCGGTAGGAGCAAAGAAGGAGCAAACCACACCAGAGCACCCGCCAACAACCCAAAGGGAGATCTAAATACTTGATAAAAACGACTTTTCTTGGACACGAAATATTTACCGTAAGTCATATCCAAAATAAAAGCTCCATTTAACCGCCTTAAGCAAACGAACAAAACTAAGGGGTTTTTTGGGGTAAGTGTTTTACGGTGCTCGTGATTGCATAAGGTCATATGAGCGGGCAGGAAACATTAAAACTTTTTCAGTTGTTAGGAAATTTTGAATTTTGCCCGAGTGGCGGCCGAAGCATACTCTTATCGATTTTAGTGCACCAAGGAATCTTTAACGTGCGCAACTTGCACACGGGCCGTCCGAGATTTTTCGCCCTTGTCCCGGAAGGCTAGGTGTAGATCTTCCCTACCAGAAGATCAGGGGTGTGGCTGAAAGACAGCAGTAAGAAGAAAATAAGGAGTAGCAGTAGAAAGGCTGCAGAAAGAATCATAAGCCCAGAGGAGGGGGCAAAGGAGGTGAGGGGTGGGGGGGGGGAGCAGAAAGAGGAGACGAAAACAGACGACAGAACATTGCTAGAGAGCAGGAAAGGAGGAGAAAGGAAAAAAATATAGAGAAGAAAATTTTTCGGGCGCTACCCGGATATTATACACATATATATATAATATATATATATATAATAGATAGACAGATACGGTATAGACATAGAACCCCAAAACTACCCCCCCCCCCCCAGGACAAAAACACGTCCCCCGACCAAAAACAACAACAAAAACAAACAAATAAAACAACAAAAGACTCATTTTTCACCTGATAATTCAATTGATCCCAAACAAATCATGCTTATTTCAAGTAAGAAAATATTTATTGACTCTGAAGTGTTATAGACACAACAGTTTCATTTCACAAGTACATAGTCATCAATGATTCAACAACTGTTTCATATTTTTAACGATATACAATACATAAAAACAGGCGTCGACTAAGAGAAGCAGCAGAAAGTCTGAGTACGGGCGATTAGCACGATGTTGTAAATTTTTACAAAAATGTAGCTTTCAAAATGTCTGCATTGAAATACAAAGCTCGACCCCAAAAAACAATTACCTAAGCCAGGAAGAAAAGACAACAGTGTGTATTTAAGAGGAGGGGAAGATCATAAGAAAGCACGGTAGGGGAAAAGGGCGGGAGTGAAGGAGAGAGTGGAAGAAAGTGGGGGGGAGGATGTAAGCGTGGGTGCATTGGTATATAATGGTGGCACGCGCGAGCGCGAGCATGTGGCAGTTTGAGAGCGTGTGTGTGCCGACAAGAAAGGTATGTGTGTGTGTGTGTGTGTGTGTGTGTGTGTGTGTGTGTGTGAGAGAGAGAGAGAGAGAGAGAGAGAGAGAGAGAGAGAATACAAGGACGTTTTCTACAACAAAGAACATATGTGAGAGCACACAAGAAAGCAGGCACGCTGTCAGCAACAGCAGCCGAATGTCTGAAACGGCATTTTTACTTTCCCCACTCGATAGGAGGACATGGCACCCTCTTTTAGATCCCCCGCCCCACCCCAAACACCAGGAGAACAAGTGCTCTACAGGCATACTGTATTTTGCACAATGCCATACTTCTAAGACAAAGGTAGGCCTATTGTGAAGACCGTGCACAGTGAGCCACAGTCTGAAACTGGGTATGAAGGACACAGCACAGACAAACACACTTATTATTCTATTGCTTTGTGATCTTTGTGGGAGCAACAGCTCCTTTCCCGGACCACCAATAAAGTTCTTACTTTTAGAGATAGAAACAACACCTATATAATATAATATAGATTGTCCTGTTTGTCTGCAAAAAGCAAGATGACATACAGAAACTACAGAGTGACAAGCAAGACATTCATCAGAGTCCTGTTCTTAAGTTGCCCTTAACTACTAACTACAAGCCAAAAAAGATGAAATGCTGCTCCATATATTGAAAGGCCAAGTGATTCATAAATGCAGTTAGCACATTTATAACTTCATCCAGGAACATAGACATCCAGGCATGGGGATATTGCTGTTAGGTGGACTAATGATTCACAGACAATCCCTCATGAGTCACCCAATCATGCACCTTATTGGACAGAGTCAAATATTGCTAGCTCTTTATCTGAAAGAGAAACAGTAAATGTGC